ACCTATGCAACAAGAGTTGTAGCTTTTTGGTTTGAGAAGGTCAGTGAAATGCCCTCAGGATTTATCCTGAGATCCTGTACCTCAGACTGTAGAACCTTTGTCAGTACAGCCATGTGGATGAGTCATGGCCATTGCTTGGCCAACCAAATGTATTACTTTTGACTTCATAATTTATTTTTAAGTTCATTATTCATTAGGCTTTTTAGGCCAATATATTAGTCTCAGCTTCCTTACAAACTGGACCAAGTAAACAGATTGTCATTATCTCATTGTATATCTAAAGAATCATAGATAGAAGGAACTGTGTTAAAGTATTTAAGCATTGTGATTGTGTGATGGTAGTAGAATTGAGTTAGTGTTTTGTTTTCCAAGCGGCTCTATGGCTAGGTGTGATGGTGTACTCATGTATTCCCAGCAAGCAGGCAACCAAGGTAGAACAATTGCTGTAAGTTCAATGCCTGCCTTCACTACATAATTCAAAGCTGGCCTGGCCTAATTAATAAAAAATAAAACAAAAAAAATCAAATTGGCTATATGATGTGGTTACTAAAATTTGTGCCTTGGTTACATAAAATAGTAAAATAACTTCATTAATTTCATTAAGCAGTTTTACCTGGAATCAGTCATTATAATGTATTTGTAAATATTTGTGAATATTTGATTTCTTTAGAAAAATTTTTTTTTAGAAGTCCTTTTTCAGGAAGCTTAAAGATATTCAGTTATTGTTGTAATTAACTTTACGTTATAATAATGACTGTAGGGCTGGCCATATAGCTCAGCAGATTAAAGCACCTGACCGTTCCCTAAAAATACAAAAAAACCCAAAAAACAAAAAAACCAACCACTGTATAATTTTGTTTTAAATGTATTTTAGTACAGGGACTACAGGATCTCACTACACAGATTGGACTCATAGTAATCTTCCTCTTTTCAGTCTCCCATGTGCTGGGATTACAGCAGGCACACGCCACCATGCTCAGTCTCAATTGCTGTCTCAGCGTGCCCTGGGGGTGGAGCCGGCATGGCATGCAAGGATAGAACTCTGGTCCCTGTGCCTGCCCAGTCAGGCGCGTTAGTCCGCTGAGCTATCTGGCTGGCCTATATACTTTTTTAAGCAACTTTTTAGAGAGTAAAAAGATTCCCTTATTCATTACGGGTGAACTTTTTTTTTTTTTTTTTGCGGTGCTGGGGATTGAACTCAGGACTCTGTGCTTGCCAGGCAAGCGCTTATTCTACTGAGCTATCTCCCAGCCCCTTACAGGTGAAAGGCTTTAGTGTACTTTTCATCCCCACTTGGGAAAGTAAGTAATGTTGGGATTTATAGTACTCATAGGTCTTTCTGCTGGTAGGCCTTTATTATCTGCATTATGATAATCATAGCATTCAGATTTTGTTAAGTCAAGTTGTTTGCATTTGCAAGAATAGGATTATTTAAAACAAAGTGTAATTTTTCTTATATGTCCCTTGAAAACTGAAAGAAAAACAAGAAAAAAAATAAAATTTGGTAAAATGTACTTTGTGCACAGTAGTTTTAGAGGCTTATTTATTTTTGGAACAAGGTCTCACTATGTAGTTCAGGCTGGCCTTGAGCTCATTGTGTGAACAAGACTGGACTGGAACGCTTTGTGATCTTCGTGCCTTAGCCTTTGATTGCTGGGGTTTTGGCTATGTTGCCACCATGACTGATGAGAAATTAATTTACAGAGCAAAGTGTGTTGAAAGAATGCTAGTTATTGTAAGTTGTTAGAAAGTTCAAAATAGCATTTTTTAGGAAACTGCTTTTGTTAAAGTTCATTTTATACAGCAGTTAGGTACACAGAAAAGCAAATCAAAGTAGGAATAGAGAAGCTTGTTATTGCTGAGATTCATGTAATCATTTACACTGTCCTGGGGCTGGGGATTTGGCTCAGCGGTAGAATGCTTGCCTAGCAAGCTGGAAGCCCTGGGTTTTGTCCTCAGCACCAACAACAAACAAAAATAATAAACCATTTACACTTTCCCCCAATTTGTACTGTAATAAATACACTTAAAATTTTTAATGAACATTTTCAAGCACATAATTTATCTGGCCAATATCAAACCATAAGTGACTGTATTGTTTTTATATTGTTCCTTATTAACCATTCATACAAAAGAACTTCATTAAAATTTCTCCATGAAAATACATTTCTTAGTGATAAAATTAATAAGTAGGAGTTGCATGGAAATGCCAGTTGTTTATTTAGGAGTTTATTAACTGATGATGGTAGGGGAGCCGGGGAAATGGCTCAGTGGAATAAACACCTCCCTGGCAAGCACAAAGGTCTGAGTTCAAATCCCTGTTCTGCAAAAAAAAAAAAAATTGATGATGGGATAAAAAATGATAAAATAGCCCTTATTTTTCAGAAATAATGCAGAAAGCAGGTAAGTGGGCAGATTCTTTCAGTGCAGCATAAGTGATAGAAGTATATACATATTGACTTAAAAACTTTTTAAATTTATTTTATTTATTTATTTATTTATTTGTGTGTGTGTGTGTGTGTGTGGCCAGCTCAGCCCACCAGGGGGCGGGGCTGGCTGGCATGCCGTGCTGGGGGATCGAACCGCGGTCCATGAGCCTTGCTAAGCTTGTTCCAAGTAAGTGTTCTAGACCACCGAGCCATCTCACCAGCCCACTTAAAAACTTTTGATAGTTGCTAGAAGCTTACAGGTGTTAAGGATTCCAGAGGTAGCATTCCATCTTGCTTGAATAAGTCTTGAGAGAGACAGAACTGATGAGTTTAGAGAAAGAGCATTGTTTAAATAGTCATAGTGGAAGCTTGATTTGCTGCAGCTACTTAACTGGAGTATGAGGTAGATGAAAAGGGGTGGCTGAAGTCACTGAAGGAATAAATTGCCATGTTTTTGTTATGTCTGTGGAATTTAAAAATTTTTTTAGGCAGAGTAGGTTATGTGGGAAAATAAATTCAGTAGCGATAACTGGGATGGTTTTGCTGGAGAGAAGTTATGTTAAGATAATAGCTGGTCAGGTGACATGACAATGTAGCGGAGGTAGTAGAGGGATGGATGGGATAAGAAGGTGTATTTGGTTGAGTAGTAAATAGAAGTATAATTAGCTGCTTAGCTGTGGATGAAGAAGGAACTTAAAGACTCAATAACTTAAGGGTTTCTTGAGTAGTTAGTAGAATACTTATGAGAGGAACAAGTTAAAATAGATTTAGCACATTTAAGTGGACACATTTATTTTAAAGTTCTTTTAGAAAATCCAAGTATGTCTGGCTCTTAGTGAAGCCTGAGACTTTATGGAGGATAGTGGTCTCTTAGACAGTGTATTGTATTAAGTTTCTTAAGGGCAGTTTTCTGTACAGCAAAGCTTAATGCACACAATGAGTATAAAGATGTGGTAGCATTAAAATTTGATTTTTTGTTTTTGTTTTTGTTTTTGTTTTTGTTTTTGTTTTTTTGTGGTACCAGTGATTGAACTCAGGACCTTACACTTGCCAGGCAAGCACTTACTCTACTGAGCTGTCTCCCCAGCCCAAAAAAGTGATGTTTTAAACAACAGAAGAGGCAATGAAATGTAGCCATGTATGTTATAATAAAGAATCTCATTTAGCATTATAGCTCAGACTCAAAGTTTATTGAATTTTTTTTCCTGTAGCAGTTCTAGAAGAGGACAGTTTCAAGATTGTCCTTGATTTTTTTGTACAGTAGACTTTCAAATTAGAATTTATGTGTGTCATACATTGATATTTCTTAGCTGCATTTGTTATGCTGAATTTGATTTGTTGGAATTGGGGCTGGGGAGATGGCTCAGTAGAATAAGTGCTTCCCTGGCAAGCGCAAGGGCCTGAGTTCAATTCCCGGTTCTGCAAAAAAAAAAAAAAAAGAAAAAGAAAAAAGAAAAAGAAATGTAAGGTTCATGAAGACAGCAGCCATACTTATCTAGCTCCTCATTTTCTGTTCTTCATCTAGGTTAGTAGTGGCAGACCTATTGTACATGTGTTAACTGTTTTTCTTCTAGGCAAAGGATGCTAATGTCTAGGTGTTTTGTTTTTTTTTTTTTTCTAAATTAAAATGGAATATTAGGTTTAATTGAGGTGTTGACACTTTGTAGTAAATACTGTAAATGGGTTGTAGCTGGGGCACTTCTTTAAAAGGTTCACTGGTTTAGATCAGTATTAGTTACACTTTTCTTGCTGAATAAACATCTATTAAATGAATCACTGCAAGTTGGTAATGAGAGTACTGCTTGATGATAGTAACAGTTTACTTTGGGCTACTTTATAATCTTTTGCATTTATAGCAGTGGAGCTATACTTATTTGTATATCTTACTGTATTTGTCCTTTTTTTAAAAAAAGTAAAACAAGAGTTGGGCCTGGTGGCATGCATGAGTCTGAGGCCAGCCTGGGCTACAAAGTGAGTTCAAGGCTAGCCTAAACTGCATAGCAAGACACTGTCTCAAAAAACCAACAACAAAAGTAAAACACAAAAATGATAATAATACTATAACTTAAGCGTTAGTCCCATAAATTTAGTAAATTGGAGGTAGAAAAAACAAATTATTATTAAACAAACCAAAAGCAGTGAATCCTTGTTAAGTCCAGTTGTCTAAACTTGTGAGGGAAGGGCCAGCAAAATAGCTCAATGGACTAAATGCCTGCTTAGGCAAGCGCAGGGACTGGGCTTCAATCCCCGGCACCATGTGCTGCACTGGCCCCATCCCTGGACACACTGAGCCAACCACAGAGTCTGGATGTGGTGGAGCACAGTTGGAATCCCAGTGCTGAGGAGGCTGAGACAGGAGTCTCACTATAAGTCTGAGGTGCATAGTGAGACCCTATACCAACTATATAAAAAACAAACCAAAAATAAAAAAATAAAAAAAATAATAATAAACTTGTGAGGGAAAAAGAACCAAATTAAATTGCATGCATAAATTGTGAGCAGTGAACTGCTGACCGCTTATCTAACTTCAGGTCTTAGTAACACATTTGTTTAATATGAATCATGCCTTCACCCATTTCCTTCTATCCTGTTCTCATATGTAAGCTTATTTATTTTAGTTAGAATGTTTGATTTTTCTACTCATAGAAAGATTCTTGAAAGAAGATAGAAAACTATTGGGCCAGCCAAATAGCTCAGCAGATTAAAGTGCCTGCAAGCAGGCACAGGAGCTGGGGGTTCCATTCCCAGGCCTGCGTTCCAGCCCCACCCCCAGGGCACACTGAGATGGCACTTGAGACTGGGCGTGGTGTAATCCCAGCACTTGGGAAGCTTTAAAGAGGCAGATCACTCTGAGTCCATCTAGTAGCGAGACCCTGAACCCCCTGTAGACATTTCCCTAAAATACAAAAAAGAAAAGAAAATAGAAAATTGTCTATAAACATCTTACAGAAAATTTGCACAAAGCTTTGACAAGATTATACATTGTTGACAAAACTTGTATTTCAACCCAGATGTATCAAACTTCGTAATTTCTTCTCTATCTTATGTTAAAAGATACAACACAATAATTTTTCAAATGAATATGTTCATGTAACCAAAATTCAAATCAAGAAACATTGCAAATATCCTACAAGTTTCTCCCTTGTTTTCTCAGTGATTGACCACCTACATAAAATGATGGGTGACATACTCGTTCTGCTTTATCCCAGGCTTTTTAAAAGAAATTCATAAATTCATTTTTAGGAGCTAAATACTCCATGAATATTTGACAGTATATCAAAACTGTAAAATGTGATGACTAGAATGAGACCACTGAATTAATTTTGTAACAACATAGGGAAATATCTCTTGCAGTAATGCTGTATGTTGGAGAATTAGGAGGTAAAGAACTTGAAGTATGTAAACAATTCTTTTGCAGCCCAATTTCCTGTGAAGTTCACCTACAGTGGGATACTGAAATAGTGGCAAGATTTCTGAGATGGAGACATGTCAGAATTTTAAAAACATTGGCTTTTAAAATGAGCTTAAGACATTTTCTACAATGTTAGCGTGTCTTTCTATCCATTTAAAGCTATGTAGCTCCATTGCTATAAATGAATCTGTGTGTGGGTGTGTAACACATTGCACATATTACTGTGTTGTATACTTTTATGTTTCTCAGATTATTTTTATTAATTTGTTTTAGGAGTTATGGAACAGCACCTGTAAATCTTAACATCAAGACAGGGGGAAGAGTTTATGGAACTACAGGTAAAATTTATAGTTAAGTCAATAGGAAAAAAGCACATGTCTTGAATAGGTGATAAGCAGATTATAATAGCTTTTTTTTTTTAAGGAAGGAAAGGTTTATTTAGCTCACAGTTACTGGAAATTTCAGCCCATACTCAGCTGGTTCCAAGGCAGAGTGGCACATAGCAGAGAACAACCTTTCATGTCAGTGGCAGGGAGGAAGAGAGCAAAATGGAGTAGTAGCAGCAACAATGGCTCTATAATAGCTTTTTAAATAACTGATGTTTGACCGTATGTTATAGACATCTACAAACTTTATATAAAGGGCCGAAGAATCAGTATTTTCAGCTGTGATGGCTACATAGTTCTTTATTACTATTATTTTTGTTCTTTTATAATTCTTTTTTTTTTTTTTAGTGGAACCGGGGATTGAACTCAGGCCCTTGCGCTTGCCAGGGAAGCGCTTATTCCACTGAGCCATCTCCCCGGCCCCTGTTCTTTTATAATTCTTAAAAAAAATTTATCTTTATTCACTCATTGTACAAAACAGTGACTTAAAATATAGAAGTTAGCATTTTCTTACTGGGATAGTAATCCCTTATTTATAAGTAATAAATCTCTAATATTTCTATCCCTTTTATTTTCTACCATAAAGTTTGTCTTAGCCTACTTTTTTCTCTGTGGTAAAAAGTAAATATGCCCTTTATTGAATCCTTGCCATTTATTGTGGTAAGAATGATAAAACCGTATTAATGTTTTCTGTTGTATGTTATAGTTTTTGCCTATGTAGCCCCTTTACCATTTTGTATTGCTATATAATAGGAACAAAAGTCAAAGGTGTAGACCTTGATGCACCTGGAAGCATTAATGGAGTTCCACTCTTGGAGGTAGATTTGGATTCTTTTGAAGATAAGCCATGGCGTAAACCTGGTAAGATTGTTGTGGATTATATTAATTTCAGAGAAGTATTTGTGTCATCAGAAAAGTAATTTTGACCATTAATTTAGAATATTGTTTTTTTCTGCTTTGTTTTGCCTTAAGCAATTGATGAATGCTAAGAACTTGTATGATTAAATCTTTTTTTTTTTTTTTAGTGTTTCCTTTATTTATTTATTTCTTTTTTCTTTTCTTTTTTTTTTTTTAATGGTCAGCTCAACCCACCCTGGGAGCGGAGCTGGCATGGCATGTGGTGCTGGGGATCGAACCGAGGTCCCTGCATGCTTGCCTAAGCTTGCCTAAGCAGGCACTTTAGACCACTGAGCTATCTCACCAGCCCCTGATTAAATCTTTTTTTTTTTAAATTTATGTGTGTGTGTGTGTGTGTGTGTGTGTGTGTGTGGCCAGCTCAGCCCACCAGGAGGCGGGGCGGGCTGGCATGTGGTACTGGGGGGATTGAACCGTGGTCCCTGTGCTTTGCTAAGCTTGGTCTAAGTAGGTGCTTTAGACCACTGAGCCATCTCACCAGCCCCTGATTAAATCTTATTAGTGGCCTTATATGCCTTTGAATGTAGACTTGGATATTCTTTGCTATATATTTTGATCAAAATGTTTTATAGTCTTTAATGCTGTGTAATTTGTGTGTGTGTGTGTGCGCGCTGGTTAATTCTGAAAGATATGAAAATTAGAATGATGACTGATAAAATTGTAAAATTATATTTTATGGTTCATATTTTTATGTTGTATAGAGTTGAAATATTTGCACATTAAAACTATGTTTTTTCTGTAGGTGCCGATCTTTCTGATTATTTTAATTATGGGTTTAATGAAGATACCTGGAAAGCTTACTGTGAAAAACAAAAGAGGATACGAATGGGACTTGAAGTTATACCAGTTACTTCTACTACAAATAAAATTACGGTAATTAGTAAACATTCCAGAATTCCCTTGCCTTTTCTACTGTCCTATTTGTATATCCCAAATAAGTCACTTTTCCCTAAAAAGGTGGTTAAATGCTATATTATAGTTGAAAACTTTCATTCTCTATACTGTGTTTGGTTTTTTCCCCTTCCTTTCCTTTTAGAGTTTCTTATTAAAGATTATCTTATTTTCTTAGTTTCAAATCACTGACTAGCCATAGCTAGTTTGTCTTATATGGCCTGTCAAGTAAAAATTGTGCAGTATCTTAATGGGGAATATGTTATTTAACTTAGGCCGAAGACTGTACTATGGAAGTTACACCAGGTGCAGAGATGCAAGATGGCAGATTCAATCTTTTTAAGGTGAATTTTAGTAAATTATCCTTGGTTGCTCTCATTTTTGTTCTTGAGTCTGCTCCCATACCATTATTCAAGGAACAAATTTAAAATGAAAGTAGCTACCTTTCTTCTCAACCCTTCAGCTTCCTGGTGACTTACAAATTTGCTGATTGTTTTTTATCTCCACTTTTGCAAGCATGTGTATTTATAGCCTATCATACTAACAACTGCCAAGTAAAACTATTCTTTGCTATATGTTGAGATTATATTTTGTGTCTAGTACATGTTTGCTTATAGAATATAAGAGTCCCTGGCAACAGATTAAGTCCTCATTGTGGATCATATTCTAACCTTTATCAGCACAATTAAAAGTTTATTTTTCCTCATTTTCTTAAAAAAAAAAAAAGGGTTATGATATGTTTGTTATCTATGTGACACTAAAATTATTGGTGTGATTTCCTTTTGTAATTCAAGATATTTTCTAGAATTTTACACATTTCTCAGAGAGTCCCTGGGAATTCAAGAAATGAGATAATGTCTTTGATTTTTAAGATTAATAGTTAGAAAGAGCAGGTTTATGTGAGGGTAGTGAAGGCAGATACTACCACCTGGGTGTCAAATCAGACTTCTGGCTTCTCCCTGCCATGGTACGATCACAGAGCCAGTCGAAACAGTATTTTCATACTTGCTTTCTTGAAACGTAGTTGGGTGTTCTACTTTCTTTCTCTTAATATTTGATTCTTACATTGAATAACACTGGATGGACACTGGAAGGACCCTTTTCTTTGTGGTATTTACTGGAGGAACTCTTTTGACCTGGATATAGAACTCTGCCCATTAGGGAACATAAGCTCTGTCTACCAAAATAATGCGTTATGCAGTGCGTGTGTTGTATCTGCAGATATTGGACAGAGTTCTATATGAAGAATTTAATTTTAATGTACATTTCTACTGTGTATGAGCATTTGTTTTTGTCCTGTTGTAAATATTTTGATGCTGTCTGCTGTATTATAAATGGTTATTGGGATCTTTAGGTTATGTTAATCTACTTAGACATTGAATTTTTTTAATTTTTCTTGATTATAATGAGTAGACAAATTGTCTTAAGTGAACTAGTTTGTAGTGGCCCTGACTTTTGTAATATAGAAATTAGAACTGCCATTATAAACTGTCAGCTCCTTTGTACATACTACACTGTTTGTTTTATTTATTTTTTTAATTTTATTTTTGGCGGAACTGGGGATTGAACTCAGGACCCTGCACTTACTCCACTGAGTCATCTCCCCGGCCACCTATACTGTTCGTTTTAGAGGATACTAAAAACAGTAAAAAATGATTCCTTTGGGCTGGTCTCTCACTCAAGGTAGACATCATGAACATTATATATATATATATATGTTTATTTGAAATGTCTTTTGATTGAGAAGTTATTGACTGTCCCATTCTCATTAACTTGATACTGAATAAGGACTTGATTTCCTTTTTAATATGCTTAAATAATAATGTCAGAAATATTAATTGGGAATAGGGCACATATTTAATAATGTATGTGGTAAATTTTTTATTTTGTTATTATGTCTGTCATGGTTTGTAAGAGAGCCATGATGAGAAGCACTAGCCAGGAAACATGTAGGCAGCAGTAAGCATAATCTGTTTATTTGTTTGTTTTGGAAAATGAAGTAGCTGCAAGATGCATTATAGAATAAAAAAGAGGCTAGATAGGGAGTTTTTGTGATACTACAAGGAATGGGATGAACTAGGGCCTGAGCTCAGTGGTGAGTTGCAGTTTCTGTTCATGTCCCCTGCAAAGGTAGTTTCATCCTCAGTGAAGTGAGAGACAACCTGTTAACTTATTTTTATGTAATACTCAAACATGGTAATAAGTAGTGAGAATAGTACCATGTAGAAGAAAAATAGACCCCAACATATTTTTTTTCCTTTTTTGAGTATAGCATTTTCTTTTCTTTTTTATGTATTTAGTACAGGGTCTACAGGGTCTCACTACACAGATTAGATTTGTAGTGGTCCTCCTGTTTTCAGCCTCCCAAGTGATGGGATTACCAGGTACCTCCACACCTAGTCTCAATTAGTGTCTCAGCACACCCAGGGGGCTGGACCGGCAGGGCACAACCATTTTTTTAAAGAAAACTCTTTAGTCATTTGTGCACACATGTATGTACATACAGATTTTTTTCTCTAGCAGAATATAGTTATGTTTTATTACCTGTGTCTGAAATTTAGCAATTATGTTTCTTGAGCTGTTTTCTACTATAGAATTAAGCACTTGGTCTCTTTAATTTGAAAGTACATATCCTTGACATTAGGGATGCTTTTGTCTCTTTTTTTTAAGGTTATATATTTGGTACAGGGTCTTGCTTTGCAGCTGGAACTTCTAGCTATCCTCCTATCTCAGTCTCCAACTGTTGGCATTACAAGCATGCACCACCACACCCAGTCTTGGCCGCCTACTCAGCACTGCTCAGCACCGGGCCAGCATACCATACAGTACCAGGGATCGAATCCAGGTCCTTGTGCTTGCCAGGCAGCCACTTAGACCACAGAGCTAGGCTCACGGATGCTTTTTTCTTGCTTTACTTTTTCTGTTCTGATTCCTTTTGGAAATGTTACTTATCTCTTGAGGGACTTGTTCAGCCTTTTAACCTTTGTACTCGGTTTCCAGTTTTGCTATTATGGTCTTAATACTCAAGAAAATGTTATTATTTCATTGTAATACCCTGTCTTTACACAGTGATCAGCATTTTTTATTCCTCCCTACCTCTCAAAGGATGTTAATTATGGATTGTGTTTTTTAGGTTTTTCTTTCCTGTATAATCTTTTTTTTTTTTTTTTTTTTTTTTTTTTTCAGAACCGGGGGTTGAACTCAGGCCCTTGCCAGGGAAGTGCTTTATTCTATTGAGCTATCTTCCCCAGCCCCATTTTTTTCAAGCTGAATTTTTGTGTTTTATTTTTGGCTTTTGACTTGGACTTTCTTTCAAATATTTGTTGATTGTTGGCCTTTCACTTCATGTTAGAATGGACTACCAAAAAGTTGAATGGAAGATCTGTGTAAATGAATCCAACTTTTAATTGTAAGCTTTGCAGTAGGACTGAACTTTTTGCACGTTAATATCCTTAAGTTGTTTTGCTTTTATTTTTTTCATTTTTGTGACAATAATGATTTGGTTTTGTTCAGTGAAGACATTCTATATTCCAGTAACCTGCCCAGAAAGTATATGGCTAGATGATTCCAGTGTTTGAGGAGCTAAAGTTATCAGTTTCTGAAACTTTCTGGTTCCCATCATGATAATGAATTTGCCTTTGCTTTTTCATTGCTGATTTAAGATTCAGCTTTGTTTAATTTGCTCATTCACATGCTGTTTTTCTCATCTGTTTTGAAAGTTTTAAATTTTGTTGGCCTTTTTTTCTTTTTAATTACTGATTGAAACACAATTCTGGTAATTGAGTTATGTCTTTCTGTTTTTCTTTCTTTTTTTTTTTTTGTTAGGGAAGGGTCTACAGTGTCTCACTACTAGATCAAACATGTAATGATCTGTCTGATTGCAGCCTCCCAAGAGCTGGGATTACAGGCGGGTGCTACCATACTCAGTCTCAATTGCCATCTCAGTGGGCCCCGGGGGCGGGGCTGGCACCGCAGGCCAGGGGATTGAACCCCTGGCCCCTATGCCTACTTGAAGGCACTTTAATCTGCTAAGGTATTTGGCTGGCCCTGCTTTTCCTTTTTTTTTTAATCCTAGCATTTTTTGCTAAATGTTTTCTTAGATTGTTAAACTTTTTGATAAATGTAATTTTAAAGTGGCATAATCTTTTATTTGAGTATGTGACAAGTTATTGAGTTTCTTCTTTTTCATGTGTTGCTCATAATGCTTACACTGTTTTTTTTTTCTTTTTGGAGACAGGGTCTCACTATGCAGTTCAGACTGGCTTTGAGCTCACTTCATAGCCCATGCTGGTTTTGAATTCTCAACAATCTTCCTACCTCAGCCTTCCAAGTACTGTGGTTTCAGGCATGCACCATCATGCCTGGCAGTGTACACTATTACAAGTGATACTATGATAGACAGCTGAAGAAGTTTCAAAAATAAAATTCTAAAACTTTTGATACAGTGGTAGTATAATTTAGTTGAATATTTAATTTCTTGAAATTACAGATTTTAGTTAAATTTTGTTTGGATTTTATGTTTTTTGGTTTTTTTTTAGGAAATTAGTTACAGTGTCTTGCAGTTTTTTTGTATTTTAGGGAAGGATCTACAGGGTGTTCAGGGTTTCACTACTAGATCAGACTCAGTGATCCACCTGATTACAGCCTCCCAAGAGTTGGGATTACAGGGGTATGCTACCACCCTCAGTCTCAATTGCTATCTCAGCTTGCCCTGGAGGCGGGTCCACCACAGCAGGCCCAGGGATCAAACCGCTGGCCCCTGTGCCTGCTTGCAGGCACTTAATCTGCTGAGCTCTATTTGACTGGCCCTACAGTTTTTTGAGTTTTTTTTTTTAATGTTAGGTCATAAATACTAAGTCTCATTATTACAAGTTTTGAGACTTGTAATCCTGAGTGCAAAGTCTTAAGAAAAACAAATAGTTAATGATAGTTCAAGTTGACTGGTAAGGTTGCTAAAATGGTAAGAATTTTCAGAATTCAATGAGTATATTATGAACAAACTAAGAACAGAAAATTAATTAGGAAGTACAAGCAAGTTTATGTGTTTAAGAATCTGCCATCTTCCTATCTTCTCCTTTCCTCCCACTGTACTTTTTTTTATTTTTTTTTGCGGAACCAGGGATTGAACTCAGGCCCTTGAGGTTGGGGAAGCCCTTATTCCACTGAGCCATCTTCCTGGCTCCTGCTACTGTACATTTTTGGTATCTGTTCTTCCATCTTTCTCTTACAAGCTCTCTCCTACTTCATTTTTCAGACTTACCTTTTTTCCTCCCCAGTGTTTAATTCAGCATTGACTATGCATGAAAGTGCATTATGCTTGGGTGGGGAGGTAAGATGTACATACTAGACATCAGCCACATAGTTTTACAATTTATCTTAATGAGAAAGACAGGTTTTAAGTCATCATACAAAATTATATAAACATGTCCCTTGAAGGACTTTTAAGAAGTGACATGTAAGGTGAGTCTCAGTTAATCAAATAACAAATATTAATTATTTATTGGATGCCAGATAGTTTTTCTAGGCACTTGAGATATAGATTTTTATTATACATGTTTCATGTCTTCCATGATCCTCCATTATAGTGGCACCAGACAGTAGTCATACCAAATGAGGTAATTTCAGATAATAATCTTAGTGATAAAGCCTATGAAGAAAATTTAAAAAGTGATCATGTGTAAAGATCGAGAATAGTGAGGGAAAGCCCCTCCAAAGCCAGTAGGTTAAATGACACAGTAGTCTTCACATACTTGCAGGGAATACATTCTAGTATCCTTAGTCAATATCTACAGCTGTGAGAGTAACACACCTTATATTTTGTATGTTTTTTTCTTATACAGTACTTTTTTGCTTGAGGCAAGGTTTCCCTGTATAGTTTAGGCTAGTGTTGAACTTACTATTATACTGTGTTGCCCAGGTGGCTTTAAACTTGTAGTGATCCTTCTGCCTCAATCTTCAGAGTGCTGTGCTGGAAATACAGGCGTATGCCACCACAATCAGCTGTTGGTCTCATATTTCTGGTTTTCCCTGAGATTTGTGTATTTCTGACCATAGCCCCAGAATGTAGTAGGTCGGAGATAGTTAATAAATGTTTGGGAACTGAATTATGTTTACTTTCCTGTCACCAGATAACTTTTGTAGTATTACTTGTGGATTGTTTTCAATCATTTCAGTCTATCTCTGTTACCTTAGTGCTAACCCTCTTGTTAGCATCAGTACATTTTAAATGATTTCTAAAAAGCAGTGAAAGTCATTTTCAAATAAATTCAATGCTAAACCCTAATTATGTTAAACTGTCAGGGATTGGATTGGACTCCAGTTAATAAGTGTTAAGACTATAGTTGCTTAAATGAACAGAATTTTAATTTCCCCTCATGTAATGATTAATTGGGAGGGAGATGATTCCTGGAATCAACTCAAGTGATTCTTTAAGGTATCTGAGATTCTCTTGACCTTTATCTCATGGGGAAGGAGGGTGATGTTGAATTTAAATAAAACAGACAATAAAATTTAAATGGGGCCTAAAATAAAGTATGATGTTATTTAAGTATAGGGTATCTTTGTTTAAATTTAATAATTTGATGATCTTAAAGATAGGTAAATGGGCCAGCAAGATAGCTCAGCAGTCCAAGTGCAGGGATCCACATTCGATCCCTGGCACCACATTCTACAACAGCTTTGGTGTGTCAAGCCTGCCACAGAGACCAGGCGTGGTGGCCCAGGCCTGTAATCCCAGCACTGGGGAGGCTGAAAACAGGGTGATTGCAGGTCCAAGCTGTGTAGTGAGACCCTGTACCGAATACATAAAAAAAAAAAAATCATAAACACCAGTGTCATATTTACTCTTCTCTCGTTGCTGGGTAAAATACCTGCCACCCAAAATGAAGAAAGGAAAGCTTTACTTAGCTCACAGTTAATGGAGGTTTTAGTCCATACTCAGTTGGCTCCAAAGCAGACTGGCACATGACAGAGGGCAGCAGTTCATGGCAGCGGAGGGCAGAAAATAGCAAGAGCAAAAGGGATGAATAGCAGAAAAATGGCCACAGAGAGCAAGTCTGTCGCTTAAGTTACAGTCAGGCTATCTGCCCCAGGCTGGGTGTAATACACCTATAATCCCAGCAGCACTCAACACCCATAATCCCAGTGGATCATGAGTTAATCCCAAACTCTTGAAGTCCATCCCATGACTGCATAGGGCTTTGAGGAGACAACTAGACACAAACCATAGCAGCCAGTCTAGAAAAGTATGAGTAGAGTATACTACACTGAGAGAATGTGATAGAAGCAGAGGCATTGGATAGCCTAGTTCATAAGTTAATATAAAGGACAAGGGAAAAGACAGATGATAGTCTTTATGCTTCTAGGTAAACTGGCAGCATGTAGTATTAATAGAGTGAGAATATGGGAGAAGTGATACGAATATATAGGAGCAAATTATTCACATTAATGTTGTACCAAGTCATTGTCTAAAAAATAGAATGGATAAAAATGGTTATTGATTGATTGTTTAGGTAAAGGTAGTGAATATGAAAGGGAAGATTCTTTGTGGCCTTTCTTGAACTCTGAATCATGGAGTTATAACCAAGTGTCTTAGACTTCTGGTCATCTGGAGGAATTTATTCAAGTGCCAAGGACTTTGGGCTTCTAAGTGACAAAGTATACTACTTTTTAAAAATTATTATTTTGAGTTTTCAAGACATGATGTTGCTGTGTAGTCCCGGCTGATCTTGAACTCACAATTCTTTCTTAGCCTCCCAAGTGTTGGGACTACATGCTTGTGCCACTATGCCTGGCTGCAGAAATGTATCCGTTTTAATACTTGAAACATTTTGATCCCATAATCCATCTTTGGTACCTTTTACCTAATGCTAGTCTAACATAGGTGACTTAATAATTATTCAGCTGTGAAACATTCTTTGTGTTTAACTTTAAATCAAATGCTATAAATCTAATATCTAAAGTACACTTTGAGTGTACTATTAAATGTAAAAAGCTAATAAAACAGTTTTTTTGTGTGTGTGTTGTTTTGTTTGTTTTGTTTTTATTTTTTTAGGTACAACAGGGGAGAACTGGAAATTCCGAGAAAGAAGCAGCACTTCCTTCCACCAAAGCTGAGTTTACTTCTCCGCCTTCTTTGTTCAAGACTGGACTTCCACCAAGCAGGTTAGTTAGATGGCTGTGACTCAGTTATTCTAAGAGATTGTTACCTTCATGTTTTTATAAAATCTCTCAGCCTTTACCAACAAAAACTGAAATATTCCACTTTTATGTAAAATGAATTCTTTGTGAAAAACTTTTTAGGGTGGTATTCCATCTTAAAGAGAAGTCTGGGTAAGTAAGAAATAAAGTGTCATATGTAGTTATGTGTATGTATCAAGAGGTAGATACCTTGTTTTCGAGAGAGGTGCTAGCAGTGATCTGTTTCCTGTGCCTATTTTTACAGAGAGTTACTAAACTTTGTAAGTCTAGAGCTACTGGGTTTAAAGGTGTTTTGCTGATTTTAGTGAAAGATAGTGGAAATTTCAGTCTGGAAAATCTTTTACATTAAAGCTACTTTATTTTCTCTATTGGGTTTTAAATGGTACACTTTGTGTCCACAAAGAAAGACTAGATTTAAGAGGAATATATATGCTACAAAACATCGTTTTTCTCAAACATGACAGTTACCTTTCTGCCCCATTTAAAGGAAAATGGCACATGATAAGCTAAGATGAGAGAAGTTTGAGAATGTGTAGCAGCTTACTCTTGGGTTGGATAAAGGTGATTTAAATCTGAGCCTCAAACAAATCAACCCTGTTATTATTTCTCAGCCATATCACTTACCTCTCAGGTTGCTTCTTTATTTATACAAGTTTCTGTTTTCATTTTTCTACAACTTTTTATTTCTATAAGAGGTTATACTTCATAATATACTAATGCAGGAAAAGACGTTATGGGAGTATGATGTTTAGCTCCAATAAGGAGATTTATGGAGCTTTCAGCTAAAATTAAATATCAGAAAGCAATTCAAGATTTTTGTGGATTGTCATACTAATTATTTAAACTAAATGCAATCTCATAAAATGAATTATGATAGCTAAGGGTATTGATACCTTTAGGTAGTATTGTGGCTTTTGCTTTTTTTAAAGGTCAAGTTTGATTCATTGAGTTAATAACATTCTGCATTATAGTATAGTATTAAGAGTGTGGAACTGGACTTAGACTTTCGAGATTCAAAATCTGGCTTTGCAGTTTACTAGTTGTGTTTCCTTGGGAAAATTTCTTAATCTTGTTTAAGTAACAATTTTCTAATCTATAAAATGTAGCAGTAGCACTTCTTTCCCTCTGTAGTTATATTTTAAATGATGATTTACATAAAGCATTTTATAAGAATTTGGTGATTGAAAATATGTTAAATGTTTGCTGTTATAATTAAGCTATTTAAAAAGCAGCATCAGTTTTTTGTGCTTTGCTTTTTTTATTTTGTTATTGTTATTTGGGTTTGGTTTTAAAATCTCAATTTAGGAGCTTTTCTAAGAATAGCCTAAGGGTGGAAACCAGGACCAGTTGGAAACTTGTACCAGTTACGTAGACAAGAAATAATGGTGACCTGGATCAAGGTGGTAGTGGTGAAGATGGTTTAAATAATTGTCATATATTACTGATGTATTTCACATTATAGACAATAACCTATTTTGAGCTCGGTGTGGTGGAGTACACCTGAGGATTGCTGTGAGTTAAGTCAGCCCAGGCTACCTAGTGAGTCCAGGCCAGCCTGAACTACATAGTGAGACTCTGTCTCAATAAACAAACAGGAAAAAAAAAAAAAAAAAAAGCCTGTTTTGATGGGTCAGGTCCAGATTTTAAGGAGAAAGATGTCAAGAGTGAATCCAAAGATTTTGTCCTCAACTTAGTTCCCCCCCCTTAACTTAGTTTGAATGAAGGAGTTGTCATTACTGAGAAGGAAAAGATAAGATGAGAAGTGGCTTTTGAAGGAAGACCCAGAACTTAGTTTAGGACAGTTGAAATGGGTAATTAATATGCAAATGGAAAATCTGACTCGGAAGTTGGGTATGTGGATCTTGAATAGAGGGGAAGAGAATCAGCTACAATACAAATTTGGGGTGATCACTGTATAAATAGTATTGAAATGAAGCTGTGGAATGGAATTATTAGAGTATGAAAGATAAACATTGATGGAGAAGTGATAGGGTACTCCTTTGTACACAAGAAAAGTTGATCCATAAGAGACCAATAAGGAATAAAGACTGTAGGTAAGTAGGAAGAAACTCCAAGTGTATGTATTTAATGTGTTTTAAGAGGGAATGATCATTATTAATATTAAACATTAATGATTGGTTAAGAAGATGAAGACTGAGAATAACTATTGAATTTTCGAATGTTATAGTCATTGGTGACCCTGGGTAGAATGATTTTCAGTGTACAAAGTATAAAGACTTTGGATTGGGCTCAAGGGACATAGAAGAAAAGAATTGGGCTGGTAAGGTAGTTCAGTGGCCTGAGCACTTACTTAGACAAGTGTAAAAACTGGGGATCAATCCCTGGCACCACTCAATCCCTGGCACCACATAGCGCCCTGCCTTGGCCCTGCCCCCAGGCCCACTGAACCGGCCACTGAGGCTGGGTGTGATGGTGCATGCCTGTAATCCCAGTGTTGAGAAGGCTGAAAACAGGAGGATCTGCGAGTCTGAGCTGTGTAGTGAGACCCTGTACCAAATACATAAAAAGAGAAAGAGAGAGAAAAACCTAGGAAACATTTTTTTAAAAAAACAATAGTCTTGGGCTGGGGAGATGGCTCAGTGGAATAAGCACTTCACTGGCAAGCTCAACAGCCTGAGTTGAATCTCGGTTCTGAAAAAAAAAAAAAAAAATCCTAAAAAATGATAGTCTTTTTGGAACTGGTATCTAGAGAGAAGTATGGGCTTAGGAGATTATTTAAAATAAAAGATGTTGCATTACTTTGTATACATCATGGGTTATTTACTCAGCAAAAATTACTAATGGACCAATAGGGAAAGGGACAGTTATAGTTATAGATCAGTGTCCTTAATAAGACCAGAAGATGTGATATATAAGTAGAAAGGTTAAGCTTAAATAAGAACATGAACAACTAACAATTCATTCATAGCAACAGAGAATGCAGGATAGATAAGGGGCCAAATGCAGGGAGATGGGAAGAGCAGCATGGTTATGGAAATGGTTAGTTCTCTTTAGATTGCTGCTTCCCAGAAAAAGAAGATGCATACTTAAGCTGGAGAGAGTAAAGATAGTTGAAATGGTGGGGTAAAGATTCAAGAAGAGAGAAGCCATGAATTAGTCTTTTTTTTTTTTACTCACAACAAGGGAAACAAGTTGGTTGGCAGTACCTGGAGGTAAATAGAGAGTCAACAGAGCTTTTTCCCCAAGATGTGAGAAATGTCATTTTTGTTTGCTAACCAGTGGGTTAGTAAACTGAAAAGTTGATGGTGCAGGGGGAGAAACTGAATCTTTCTGTTTTTTCTTGAAGTTAATGCCATGGTATAAAGCAAAACATCACTTGTTAATGGTATATTTTTCTCACTTTGGTCAGGTATTTGTGTATTCATGAAGTATTTAATAGGAGTTGAGGTTACACTAGATAAATATGACAAAGGAAAGAGAGGCCAAGAAAGCAGCATGTATTGTGAGGGTGATTATAATGTTGTATCATGGAACTAGAAGAGATGGGTAAGAGGTAAAAAGGTAGAGATGCGTAAGGTACTATAAAACATAGGTAAAGGAGTGATGGCAAAATTAGGCTCATCACTACTAAAGAATGCATAGTTACCTCTGCAAACTAGAAACATACATAGCTCTGTCAGTACATCTACATACTAAGGACATTGCTGATTATTCATTAGGAAAGTTTGGTTTTTTTATTCATCTTCGGTTGCTTAGTACTTTTCATTCATCGTGAGCTGTTTCCCTTAAAACATTTTTCCTATTTTTATTTTGATAAAATCTGCATAGAAAGAACCTTTGGAAGTAAAATTTTATTGACTTTAAAGAAAGGACAGTAATGTTATTAATAAAATGTAATAGGGTAGAGCAGATATTTAAGAGCAATGACCTATTGACCCAAGTACTGTATTTCCATTGCTGAAAATATTAGTGTGTGTAGAAGTACTAGTTTCTGACTTTTTGACCTACCCAGCAAATTTGGCATATTTAAGTAAAATGTTATGTTTAGTAATTAACATGTCATAATGTTTGTTTAAACTTTAAAAGATTTCATAATACTTAATATTCTGGAAGTACGTATATACTTCGAAAAACCAACATGTTATGAATTGACAGCTTGATAAGTTTTCAAAAACTGGACATCCCCATGTAAATTAGTGCATAGATCATTAAACATATAATTGTTATATTCTCTAAAAGTTTCTGTTACACCCCATTCACTTTTATTTTTCTGTTTTTGTATTATTTTGATTAAAATTCAAACTTACAAAGAGTTGAAAGAAAAGTACAAAGGTCAAATGTGATGGTGCATGCCTGTAATCCTAGCACTTGGAGGACTGAGACAGGAGGATTGCCATGAATTTGAGGCCACTCTGGATTACATAAGCAAGTTCAAGGACAGCCTGCATTGCATAGTGAGAGTCTGTGTCCAAAAAAAAAAAAAAGAACAAGGAACTGTCATACGTACAGAGTTACCATGTTAATGGTGACTAGTCCTGTATTAAAGCAAACTAGTCCTATGACCTCTAATGCATATTAAGAGTCAATATTATTCCCTTTGTATTTAATAAGTAATTTTGTGGTGAAACTTGTCGTGTTTGCTTTATAATTTCTGAGAACATTTTTTTCCTGAGTCATTTGAATGTTAATTCTAGCCATTATTCCCCATGAATCTTACATATGTATATCTTAAGATCAAGTAAATTCAGCTGCATAATCTTAGTATGGGCACATGACATGTTTACCAGTCAGAAAAATCTAATAATGAATTAGTACTTCTTCCTGACAGTATTGAAGCCAGACCTTTTGCCAGTTACCCTTTGTTGCACTTTCTTTTCACTTTGATTTAGTGTGTAATCCACATCACTTATCACATTTGACTCACTCATCTTTTAAAATATGGCATAGCTTCTCAACCTTTTGTTGTATTTTGTGACAGTGAATTCTAAGAGTATAGTTCAGTTTTTGTAAATGGTCACTAAACTCTGGATTTGTCTGTTATCTCCTCACTATAAGATTTAAATTTTGCTTTTTGGGATACCATGTGTTTAAGCAATGTGTGTCCTCCACATTAATTTTAAAGATACATACCTGTTTTTTCGATTATTAGTGATGATAATCTTAATCACTTGTGTCCTTTCGTTTTCTTTCTGTAAAAGAGTTAATATTATTCCCTTTGTATTTAATTTTGTGGCGAAAGGGAGTAAAAATTTTCCTTAGGCTTCATTGATAGCATAATCTATTATTGTAGTTGCAAAATAATGATTATGTAGGTCTTTTACTTCTCAACATTGCCATTCTTTAAAAATGAGGTTTCCTACATCCTCCACTTGTATTACACTTTGATTTCATATTTTATGTGTGAAAGTTGTGTATGTGTGACTTATAAATATTTAAGAACAAGTGCATTGTGTTATATAATCATAGGGCACACTATGATATGTATAAAGCATATGTATGATTTATATGGATCATAATTTATTTTGATGCTAAACTTACTCCAAATTTGGTCAAGGGAAGCCTCTTCATACTACTCCTATGACCTCTAACCCAGTCTTTTTCTTTTTTTTTTTTTTTTTTTTCTTTGTTAAGATGCCTTAACTGGCAAACCAATATTTCCCAGACTTACCTTGTGCTTTCCAGGCTTCTTTCCAAGAAGCTGTTTCTTGAAGTGGCTCCTCTCAGAAATAATTACAAATCAAAATTGTGCAATAGCTATGCTCATTATACTGGGTTGTCATTATTTATTTCCTAGCCCTTTCAGCCCTCAAAAGTAGGAAAAAATAAGCAGTTTCAATATGATTTTTTTTTTACTTTAAAAAAATTTTAATCATGATATATTCTTTTTACATCCAGTTAAACACCACAGTGTTCTTTCCTTCTCTTTTTCCTTATTAACATCTAAAAGTGTACAGAGATTTGTTACCCTATTTTCTATTTCTCTCATTTCTGTCAATAACATTTCATTAATTTCTGGTTTATTCTTCCTTGGTGTCTTTTTTACATAAATAAGTTAATATATAAACATATTTTTCCAGTTATTTTGAAAGAACAGTTTAATGGTCTTTAAAGGATTAGCAGGATGCCACTGGGGATAAAATTAACTTTCTTTGGAATTTTACTTTGAAAGAGTTATGTTATATTTGAAGTAGAATTTTAATAAATGTATGTAGTACAGATTTTTATGAGACACATGAGTGTTAACTGTTAACTGGTTGCACTAGCAGTACATATATCTGCTAAAGAATACAGGGAAAGCAGTACCAGTATTTTGAGTACAATCTTATTAAACTGCAAAATTAATGTTACTAATTCATAGAGCACAGAAATTTATTTCTCTAAAATGTATTTTAATCTGAATCTAGCTCTTGGTTCTTTTCTCATTTATGCATTATGACATCCTACTGTTTTGAAAGAATATTTTCTAAAAATATGTTAGAGTTACTAAAATGTTAATAACACACCTATACTTAAATTCCACTAATCATTTTAGTACCTTGATGTACGAATATGTTGAAGGACTTTAGAAAGAGCATGTCTTAAGAATTAAAACGAAAAGAAAAGAAAAAGGGGGGTCAGAGGCAACAATATGTAAGAAAAACCATAGAAAATTTATCTCACCAGAAACAGCACCTCTTCTCAGTCTCAGACAAGTACTGCCTCCAGAAAAGCCAATTCAAGCGTTGGGAAGTGGCAGGATCGATATGGGAGGGCCGAATCACCTGATCTAAGGTAAGGCTGTTTTTAAACATTGGATACTCCCTGATGTTTAGATCATCAGTGTTGTTTTGTCTCATTAGTACAGTAACAAAATTTTACTACACTGTACCATATTTTTACCTTCCAAATTACATTTTTCGAGGTACTATGAATAGTTTTTTAATTCTTTTATTAATGAAGACCTAGCTTGTGTCTTCCCACTTAATCTTTGGTCTTTTATAATAAATTGCCATGATCCACATAAACTAATACTCAGTAAATCTTCCCCCTTTTGCACATTCTTCTTTCTTGTACCACCTGTTAAAATATCCCCGGGTGGTTTTCATTACTTACTGATAAAATCTAATCATTACTTAAGACTTATAAAAGTTAACTCCATGGTCTGGTGAGATGGCTCAGTGGTCTAAAGCACCTACTTAGAACAAGCTTAGCAAAGCACAGGGACCGTGGTTCAATCCCCCAGCACCACATGCCAGCCACGCCCCCTGGTGGGCTGAGCTGGCCACACACACAAATAAATAAATAAATTTTAAAAAATAAATAGAAGTTAACTCCACTGACTCTTTCCCATCTTTGTATTTAGCTGCAGTGTATGAACCTGCTGTTCCATTGAGTCTATCAATTGTCCTGCAGTGTGATGTTGGGGGAAGGGGTACTCCTAGGCAAGTGCCACCAAGCCACATGCCAGCCCATTTTACGTTTGAGACAGTTCCCCTAAATTGTCCAGGTTGGAGTCGGTATTTTAAATTCTCATGCCGCAGCCTCCTAGATAGTTAGGATTATAAGCATGTGCCAACTCTCCTGGCATTATGCTTTGATTCGCTATTTACCTTCTGTAGAATTTCCATTTTTTATGCTTTACATTACCTAATTATGGAGTATACAACCTTAGATGTTAGTTTTTTTGAGCCTGTTAAAAGGGAAATCATAACTTCATTCTTAAGGGTTGTAATATATGGTAGGTTATGAAAAAGCCTTGCCAACAGCAATCAGTCTGACGAGTTTTAAATATTTCTGGCATATGAGGGGTAATTCTGGCTTTGTTTTTGTTTAGGATTTTAGACTTTTATGTAGTTTAACTTTTGGTTAATGTATTTTTGTTTTAAGAACTTCTAAATACATGAGTTATAAGATGCTTTTGTTTATATTACCTTAAATAAAAGGAAAACAATCAATATTTGACTTTCTTAGATTTTTTTTTTCTTTATTTTTTTGTAGTGGGGTCTCACTATGTAGTATAGGCTAGCCTTGAACTCATTATATAGCCCAGTCTAGCTTCAAACTTGTGTTGTTCCTCCTGAGTTGGTCTTCCTGGTATTACAGGCATGCTCCATTACTCCCGGCATGAGATTTCTTTTTCTATGAAATCTTAATTATATAGACCCTGTGAATTCTGAGACTTTCTAGTCAATTTGCTTTGATAGTTATTCTTAGAAGTTGGTTTTCAAGTAAAAAGTAAAAGAATATTTAAAGAATAGTGGAAGTATAAGTAATTAATTCAAATAAAAATGTTATCAGAACAGTGTTGCAGTGTGTTGTTTTAGCTGGTTAAAGAATGAAATTTTGTAGATTTTATTTACTGTCATTTACTTTAAAAATGTGGATCATATTTTAATTTATTTTCGATAAAATTCTACTGGAGGAACCAAGAGAAATTTCAAGGGTTATTTTATTTTATTTTTTTTCTCTTTGGGTGGAGAATTTATTTAATGAGTAAAACATTTGTAAAACATACATATTCTCAGTTATGTGTGTTTTCTCAGTGGTAAATGTTGAGTAGTGTGAAAGCTTTCTCACAGATGACATTCATATGATTCCTCTCCTCCCTGCGTTCTTATATATCTACCATGATGATTACATGGCAGGCTATTTATTCCACTCATGACATCAATAACATTTTTTTCTTGTGCATTTTTTCTAATTTTTAGTAAGGTGACATGATCAAGTGAAGGCCTTCCCTCATAGATGACATTCATAGTTTTTCACCTGTGTGTCTTCTCTAATGCCTAGTAAGGTGAGATGATTGAGTGAAGGCATTCCTACATACATGACATTCATATGGTTTCTCTCCTGTGTGTGTTCTCTCATGGCAAATAAGGGAGGATGATTAAATGAAGGCTTTTCTACACAGGTGACATTAATATGGTTTTTCTCCTGTGTGTGTCCTCTCATGGATAGTAAGGTGAGATAACTGAGTGAAGACCTTCCCACAGAGATGACATTCATATGGTTTCTCTCCTGTGTGTGTTCTCTCATGCCTTGTAAGGTGAGATAATTGAGTGAAGGCCTTCCCACATAGATGACATTCATACGGTTTTTCTCCTGTATGTGTTCTCTCATGGATAGTAAAGGAAGATAATTCACTGAAGACCTTCCCATAGAGATGGCATTCATAGGTTTTTCTCCTGTGTGTGTTCTTTTATGCATTTTAAGGGTATTACAATGAGTAAAAGCTTTTTGACACGTTACATGCATATGGTTTTGCTCCTGTGTGTGTTTGCCTATGAATTTTAAGGTCACTACAAATAGCAAAAGCTTTTCTACAGACATTATATTCATATGGTTTCTCTCCAGTGTGTGTTCTCTCATGCTTTCTAAGATCAGACTTCTTAGAGAAGGTCTTCCCACATACAAAGCACCCATATGGACTCCTGTGTGTATTGTCATATGAATTTTCAGGCTGCTTAAATTTTTGTACATTTCCACACATTAATGACATTTGTGTTGTGCTTCATCTGTATGTGTTTTCTGACCCCAATAAAATTTAGAAGATTAATTGAAGTTTGCTCCCAACACACAGAATTCATTTCCAGATTCAGTCATCTTGTGTCTTTTGGATACAGACTGATAGTTGAAGGTTTTCCTACTCAGATTGCCTTCAGAATCAATCTCTTCACACTGAATTTTCCCTGGACTTGATGGTGTCTGTTTTCTTCTTTTTCATATGTCCAGTGGTTATCTGTCCCTCTTCATAAAAGCTGTTCTTTTTTTCTGGATTCTGCTTTTCGGGTAAAGCTGTTTGCTCTACCAGCCATTGATTTTCTGTTGCATCCATGTGAAGAACAAAATCTGATTTGCAGTATTTGCACCCCAGGGATTCCAGGTTCCTGATGTTTTCCAGCATCACAGCTCTGTACAGCTTTCTCTGTGCTGTGTCCAGCAGAGCCCATTCATCTGGGGTGAATTTGATGGTCGCATCTTCAGTGGTGATTGATTCCTCCCAATGCACTGCCATTTGAAGTTTGCTGTAGATGTTCGCTCACAGGGCAATCGAGATAAAAGAATGGAAATTTGTGGAAAGGATTTCACACTACTTGAAAAATGGAGTTGTAAGCAGCAGCACATCAGTTGCTCCAAGCTTTGCAATTCAAACACTAAATTGGTCACACAAGGTCCAGTGGATCGCATGCACCTGATTTTGGTTACTGGTCGTTGTGTTGAGAAGGTTGTGTGTTCTGGCCACATTGATTGAGCACCAGTAGTTGTGAGCACTTTTTGGTCATTGTCTCAGTCCAAGAAATTTATATTTGTAATCCCAAAGATACCTGTTTGGAATCACACCAAGTTAATTCCAACCTATCACTCCTGGTGCAACCCAAGGCGAAAATAAAGACACTAAAGCATATTTACAATTATGGGGAGCCATGGAGTCCTGAGTCCAGCCTTGGTGTTGGCTATCTGGAACAAATGCCTCAAGGGTTATTTTAAATAAAGAAAAATTACATCTTACAAACATAGAGTAAAGTGCACGAAATTTTTTAACACTTAATATTTCTGTGGAATCCAAAGTTATAATACTTGTATTAATGATGTAATTTCTATTTAGCTAACTTGATCTAGTCTATAACTCCTGGGTTTATGTTTAAGCTGACCAGCAATATACAATAGCATATTTACAGAATCTCAAAGGACTAGAGAATAAGAACTTTGATTATAAGTCTATATCATGCTACTGTTGGTAGCAAGTTAGTAGCCATTTTTACATATAATTTTCTTAAACTTACATGATGTAAGTATTGGATTGGATTTTAGGTCGACTTTTGTCAGTGACGACTTACATGACTTGAGAGTTCCGCAAGTCTCTGCCTCCATTACTGCATTCTATTACTGCTGGTAATAAACTATAAAATCTGGAAACTCACTTCAATATTGAAATTATTTTATGGCTAGTCCTAGTTTACATTGGGAAAGGAGATCTTAGTTGGTCCAGATTCACAGACAGCTACAAGAAAAACTCAGCACTATTCCATCAGTTCAGTTTAGGCAAGTTGATTTTCATATACAAAGGCATAATTATGGAGGGTAAAGCTTTATTGCAAACTCCGTACAAAATGAATAGCTTGACTGCATTAATGTACAACTGTGTCCTCCAGTCAGTCACGTTTCAGCACATTTCATATACTAGCATTCAAGGCTTTTTGTTTGCTTTTTAATAGAGCTTATAATTCTGGGCCCCAGAAAGTTGTTATAGATTGGTATTGAAAATATTTTTGTGGAAGAAAAATTATACTGACTTGGGAAGGATATATTGAGGTTGAAGTTGAGTATACAGAGCCTGAATCCTAGTGCTGACACTTTGATGCAAAAGAGCCTCTTTGCACAGCTATACAAATAAATCATTGTGAATTTACATCTTACTTGCAGTATTTCTGTAAACATTAAATAACTTCAAGACTTTAAAAAGACCTGTTATAAAGATCAGATGATATGATCAGGTACCCAATAAATGTTAGTTCCATTTGGTTCTCTGTTTTCATTACTGGCTTTATCAGTTCTGGGTTTTGTTGTTGTTGTTTTTTTTTTTTTTTTTTTTTTTTTTTTTTTTTTTTTTTTTTTTTTTTTTTTTTTTTTTTTTTTTTTTTTTTTTTTTTTCTTTTTTTTTAAGGGAAGGGTCTACAGGGTGTTCAGCGTCTCACTATTAGATCGGACACGTAGTGATCCGCCTGTTTGCAGCCTCCCAAGAGCTGGGATTATAGCATGGCCCCACCATGCCAAGTCTTAATTGACATCTC